GAAACGGTGGGCACCTCGAGAAGGCAGGGGTTGTCTTGATAATGAGAGGCTGTATTTTCGCGTCAATTATCCTTGCCCAATTATCCTTGCTGGTATATAGATAGTCCTTGACTTACTACAGTTTGTTTAGTGACTGTTTAAAGTAACAATGGCACTGAAAGAAAGTAACTTATGACCAGTTTTCACACTTATGACCATTCTAGCATCCCGATGGTCATGTGATCAAAATTCAGATGCTTGTTGCGATCTTCTGACAAAGTCAATTGATCCACTTAGCAACGGTTTGACTAATTTAGCAACTACAGTGATTCACTTAACAACTGTGGCAAGAAAAGTCCTAAAATGGGGCAAACTCACGTAACAAATGTTTCATTTAAGAAATGAAATGTTGGGCTCCATTGTGGTCGTAAATTCGGGGACTCCCTGTATTTAGAGAGCTAAAGAGAAATTGTGTAATTGTGGTGTAATTGCTGTGAAAACCTAGTCTTAAAAAACCAAATGATTTTAGATTAAAACAGATTTAGCCTGTCTGAAGTTAATTCATTTTTGAAATGTTTAATGAACTTGCATTTTAGATTAGATATCTGGTTCTATTTAACTGCCAGATGGTTGCAAAATATAGTAGGAAATAGTTGAACCGTAGTTTGCCTTATTTACCATGACGTTGAGAGATTGATTAGTGGGCCCTTGTGCAATAATGTATTCCAGACCATCCGAATGTAGATTGGAAGGACGGCGGTATTTGAACACGGTGCCAGCCACTCTAAAATTCTGTGGATTGTCAATAGCAGAGTTCCCATTGAAGAAGAAATGCCCCAAATCGTCAGCCAGAGCTACCAGGAAAACAGAAATGAAACGAGAATGAAACATCTATTGTGCAAATATTAATTTAGATATAGCAATAGCAACAGCAGTTAGACTTCTATACCGCTTCATAGGCCTTTCAGCCCTCTCTAAGCGGTTTACAGAGTCAGCATATTGCCCCCAACAANCGGCAAGCCACTCCTACCAGGTCACATGGGCGGCAAGCCACTCCCACAAAGGAGGCCACGCCCACAGAGTAGGTTCGAAGAATTTTTGAAACCCACCACTGATGTACATGTACAGTGCAAACAACACTTTTGTTTATGTGGAGCACTTGAAATACACATCTCACCAACCACTTCCCATCAACCTTGTACTGTAGATGATTGAGTAAATAAACTTATGAAAGGATACTGACCCAGATCTGCTTCTTTGTTAGCTGTCACTTCTTCGTCTTCACTTGTTTCACTTGTATGATAAAGTTGTTGGAATTGAAAGCTGAGCTCTTCCTCCTGTGCCTCGTGTTTCCAGCCCCATTCTTTGCCTTTGGGAGTGGAGTTACTTAGGAAGAAGTTCTGGCTATTGAAGGACAGGCCCCCAGGTTCTTCTTCTGCGTCATCTGTCATCTCTGTGACAGACGTCCAAGAAGCATTGAAATCTTGGGAAATGGATGAAACTGCATCTTGGTAATTTTGGCTAGGCTCTGGTAAGTGAAGATAGAGAGGCATCTTGATGGATGGCGGAACTGTCTGAACAGCTGGTGACAATGCTCTAGGCACAGTGTAGTCATAAGTTACATGTGGCATTCTTCCATTGAAATTGTAGTACTTTTAACAAAGAGAAGAAGAAAAAATAACCAAGCTTACTCTCACTTCGAAATTGCACAAGATTCTACTCTAGTCCAAAGAACTTTGAGAAAGACTCTTCACACAGCAACTGTATACAGTAATCAGATGTGGCAGTGTGCAAAATAATTGTAAGTCTAAATTATCATTAAAAATGTTGTTGTGAGTCTTGAACATTTCCCACAAGGTTATTATGTGTTGTCGTATATGTAAAAGTCTGTTTCCCCTTTTCCCTTTCGGATGTGAGCCGCCCTGAGTCCCCCCAGGGAAAAGGACGGCATACAAATAAACTCCTGAATCCTGAATCCTGTTTGGAACAACAATTTCTAGTAAAATAAGATTTAAACCACCAAAGGTATTTCAAGTTTGAAACATTTTGCACATCTGCTCAGAAG